AGTTACTCCATTTGACAACAAAATGGTATTGGTATTAACAACACCCAAAATGATCCATCAAGTGCATCTTCACTCATTCCTGAGATGGTAGGGAAAATATCTCTTCCATAATCCAGCCTGCTCTAGTTATTGGCTGGGATCACGTAAGAGAGCATCAACAGACAAGAAAGCTGTAGCAAGGGAAGTGAACAAAATGAGAGAAATTATCCAATGGGATAACAAAGAGGTATACAAGCCTACATACCAAGTGATGAATTTCCAGAATGAAGCAGGTGACAACAATTTAGAATCGATGGTGATGACCATTTGGATTATATTGGTACACCAGGAACTGTAAGCTAGATGGAAATTTTGGATGAAAAAATACCTATCAATTATTATGAATTGAAAATATAAGATTTCAGAATATACAAAGAAATGTATTATATACACAACCTTCAAATGATTCATACTTCTACGTTAGAGTAATAAAGTAGGATAGAACAAAATATGTGTTTAAACTTAATGCACTTGATGGATCGATTTTTGGTGGAGTGTGAATTATTTGTGCTAAGTACATCGTCATTTGGTTTGCTTCCAAGTGGTCGATGACTCAAGCCGAAGTGGAAACTTTGGCTGCCAAGCTGAGTTGAGCTGGGCAGGCTAGGTGGCAAGCTGACTATAGTGTCGAGCTGCCTATGAGGTGTCGAGCTGCCTGGGAGATGCCAAGCTGCCTGTGAGGTGCTGAGCTGCCTGTGAGGTGTTGAGCTGCCTGGTGACGAGCTAACTATGAGGTGTCGAGCTGCCTAGTGACGAGTTGGATTGATGAGCTTCGTTGCTCTTTAGAGACCTGCAAGGAACCAAATGTCAGAGGACCCGGGGTGGCCAACCCGGCAAGGTCGCTCCAATGCTTAAGTCAGTACTCTCATAGTAGACTGCAAGCTAAAAATCACGAAGTATGACAGCTAGAATTTGCTTACTTGCTTACTTGCCCCCCCTGTCATTGGGGTTGGTGCCTTTATATAGGCCTTGCTCACATACTGCCCCCGAGATCTCCGGGAGGTCGTGTCTAACTGATCCGAGATCCTCAGAGGTAACTGCCATGCACATTGACCATCTTTTGGAATGAGGGCCAACCTCCAAGGGCCGTGGGTTATGCATGCCGAATTTGTTGGTGAGCATGTCTCGTAGGTCGCCAGGTCAACGCCTGGGCCAGGCCAGGCCACCAGGTCGCGCTGGGCCAGGCCGCCAGGTTGGACACCATCAACTTGGGAAGTTGTTACTTGAGTGGTTCCGGGTGTCACCTAGTTGTTCTGAGGTGCCATGTGTCACAATGTCATTAGAGGACCAAATCCGCCCTCATCAGCACTCAAATTATAAAGTCATAAAAGTTCTCACCATAGTTGATCCAGTAGGATCAGAAAGAAGATGTCTAATTAGGCACATTCTCATGCTATTCGGTGCCATAACAAACATATAAAAAGCAAACACTATGAGGTCTGATGATGAAAGGGTAGAACCAAGAAAACCCTGCCACATCCTGCAAGAAAGACACCTCCATTTATCATTCTACCATAAGTAGAAAGGCAAACCAACGAGGACTTGCTCATTTGCAGATAGCTTGTAGCATTTGTTAAGAAAGCAGTTAATATTCATAAGCTATTATTGTTCCCCGTTTCACTTTGCAGACCTTTGTATTAGCAGCTTCGTTTTGTTACTATGGGTTCTTGCTCAGACTGCATGTCTCTTCCATGATTCTCAATTGTCAAATATAGGATTCAAATTAGGTGTATTATGCAGTCAAAACAACAAAAAAAGGAAGAAWGAAAGAAAAAGTTTCCAAGGGAACACAGCAGTAGCTGTTTTCCCAAATTGGCTAAGCATAGAAATCCCAAACTCCAAGTGCCAACTGAACTGGTATCTTCTCCATACATTCACCCCCATTGTAACTAGAAGTATTATTATAAATAGTAAGTCCAGATTTACTATAAATAGTAATGTTGTTCTACTAAAAATAGGGATCTTGTGCCATTTGCTTTGTTATTCTTGAATTACATGTTTTTTAAGAACTTCTAGATAATTTTAGAGTAATTTTATATGCCTAGAAAAAGAGTTGTGTCTTAGTTAAGAGCCATGGGCTTCCATGAGTACCGCATTTGTATGAGATTTGAGCCACCACGAGTACCATCTAATTAATTGAAAACTTGTCTTGCCATGGGAGGAGCCGAAAGTATCACCCTGAGTACA